TTTTTTGTTTGTTTGATTGGTTTTTGTCTTTTTTTTTTAATAATTTCTCCCTACTTGGTTTGGGGTTTTATTGGGGTTTGGGTTTTTTTGGTTTTTTGTTTTTTTTTTTTTTTTGTTTTTTTTTTTTTAAATATAGGACAATTCCATTATTAACTGCTTCAACTCTTATTTTACCATCGTAAAAAATAAATTGCTATAGTTGCTTGCCCATTACTATTTATAGCTTTCTCCTTTACTAGATGTTTTCCTCCTCTGCACAAGACCATAAATACATTAAAGAGCAAAGGAAGGAATGATTGGTTTGTCTTTGACACATAGGCTCTCAAGCTTGTTGATATTAGTCATGTTAATTAATCATCTTATGGACTACAGGTTTTATTAATGGCAGCATCATCTGATTCAAAAAATCAGATCCTGACCACTCCTGGAAAAAATACACACTCTTGACATTAGTGTGAGTTATTGATACCAGTTGCCACAAAAACCCATGCCAGATAGGTCAGATGTGGTTAAACTGGCTCTTGGGTTTCTGACCAGCAGCCAGGCTTTGCCTGTCATAATTTTCCCTGATTTTCCACTTCTCTGGGAATTATTTAAGACTATTATTATACAAGTATAATGAGCTGAAATTCCCCTGTTTCAGCTGCCTTGGCAATACCATTTTCCCCCTCCTCTGCAATGGGAAGGATCTGACTCGATTCAGCCACTTGCGTTTTCCTCTCACTGAAAAGTCCTTGGTCAGCAGTGCAGGGAGGTGCAGGGGGAGGCCCAAAGCAGTTTGTGTTTGCAAACCTGCTCTTTCATTACAGCCTGTGCAGCTTTGACACTGTGTGATGCATCCTAGGGAATGAAAACACCATGGAGCAAGGTATGTGATCAAACCATCACTGAAATTCCTGCTCTATCTGGGCTGCCACTGAGGCTTTCTGAAGCCTTTGAGTTAGGAAATGGCATGTTTCCTGAGAGCTGATACTCTGTGTTTTGGATAAAGTCATGGCAGAAGTGTCACACTGAAAATATCCCAGTGGATTCTTACACCCATTCAATCATCCTTTGGAGAAGTGAGGCATGTATCACTGCTGATAGGAATGCTGTGTATTGACTCTCCAGCTCTACTGGACATAGCTTAATCACACTTGGTTAATAAAAACCAAAATATAAATTGTGCTTTGTTCACTGGAAGAACTTTCCTTTTTTTCCTTCTCCTTTGTGTTTTCTTTCTTTCCACCCTATGGTTTTATATGTCTGTCTCTGATAACATGACAAATTAGAATGAAAGCCAATTAATTAACTTAATATGGGAATGCCGAATTATACTGCCTTTGGGTCACAGTTGCAAACAGAAGCATCTTGTCCAGAAGCCTGAATTTCACTAAAATATTGCATTAAATCTATTCAGTTCAACCATTTAAGCAATCTGCTTAAATGTTTGTTCTTGTGGATGAGGGAAAACCAGCTGATAAATATTTTAGGACGGATTGTGTAGTTACTACATTAAAGTGAATTAATATAGTTTATGCTTTTGTGATTGACCAGCACAGGCTATGTTGCTGTAATCCATCTATAAACTGTCTGCACCTCCAGCCTTTTTTGAGGCCCTCTTTCATCAAAACCAGGCAGTTTACCTGTATCCTTTGTCATGCTCTGCATGCACAAATAAGGCCATTGCCACTGAGACAGTCCATTAGACTGATTTTCAAGTACACAAAAAGCACTTTCTAGTAATTGTATATTTGACCTAACATACTATGTTTGCAATCCTTGCAATTGATGTCAGTTGAGACTAAGCTTAATTTGTCCTTCCCCTCACCCAGAGAAGGATATTCGTAAACCAAAACCCATGCAGCTGTGATTTCATCTTAATACCTGTTACACAGCTGAGAAGCCTGGCTTAATGCTGCTAACTGCTAGTCAGCTTGTCTGTGCCAAAACAGTGAATGAAAAAAAATATTTACTGTTTGTGCACAGCAGTGTAACATCAAGGATTTCAGCAGGGATGCTGTAAATAAAAAAGTTCATTACAAAAATAACCAGTTATGAGCTATGTAAGGGTATTTCACTTTCAGGTATGAGTCAAGTTAGCCTCCAGTAATTTATCAAAGCTCAGGTGTGTAGGACACTATAAGCCTGGATTAATTTCTCTAATGAGGAGTTCACATCACAAAGTCAATTTGAAGAAAGTGGTTTTGGGGGCAGACATGAGGATATAGAGCAGAGCAAGGTGAGTGGCAGTGCAGAGGAGACCTCAGCTCTGTTTTCTGAGAGCTGTTTGTGTGTGATATCAGTGTGTATCTGTGCTTCAGAGGCAGGTGTGGCTAAATGGGAATGGCCGAGAGCAGGGCCAGGGACAATGTTAGACTGCTGAGGAGTAAAGATGGAAGGCAACATGGGATGTAACAGAAGCAAAAAACTGTAAGCTGAATATGGACCAGCCTTCTTTTTTAGTTTGCTGGGGGGGATTAATTCTGTCCAGCACATTTCATTTAAGATCATGTCTCTCTTACTTTTTGGTAGTCTGCTTCTGCCATTTGCTCAGCTATTGAAATGACCTTTCTTACTTGTTCTTCATCTTGGCAGTTTTCAGTGGGATTGCCAAGAAAACTAAAAGCCTCTTCCTTATTCCTCGAAAGCATAATCAGGGAGTTAAGAAGCCAAGATTAGTTTTGCTAATAAGTGTGTACCAGAGAACTCCTTTGGGGATTTCTGTTTTTCTAAGTATTTGCTTTAATGGATTATGAGTTTCTGCCCTCCTTGGGAGATAGTTGGAGTGCCTCATGTTTCTTTGTGTTGTGGAAGGGAAAACACCCAGTGGGTCTGGTCATTGATTTTCCAAAAATTTCCAAAAATTTATTTTCCAAAATAGCTTTTTTCACTATTTTGGCAGTGGTAATGCTTTGCTTTCCAAGGACACTACGAGACACAGCCCATCCCCCGAGGAACTTGGATCAGTACTGTCTCTTTCCTCCAGGGAATTACAGCAGGCATGGGAGCTCTGTCAAATTAATGTGTGTCAAGGTCACCATTCCTTGCAGGGGCTGGCTGGCTTGCCTTGGAGAAAGGGACAAGGGTCTCGAGGTAAACAGAAATTGCTGTGTGATAATGAGTGTGCATTCACAGATATCCAGAATCCTTATTTCAGGTTGCTTTAGGCTGGGTGAGAACACATCTCAGCATGTCTTTGTGTGTCAGCTGGTGCATTGGAAAAGCAGGTGGAATTTCCACTTGGGAACAGGGAACCTGCACAGCAGCCCATCACACAGCCTGTTAGCCTCTGTCCAAAAAGGTGAATGGATCCAGCCTGATCAATGACTGTGTGCTGGCTGCAGCCACAGATTACTCCGAGACCATTCATAAATTATGGTTTAAACAGGAACATTTTTCAAGGGCTTGGAGCAGCTAGGTGCATAGATTGAAATAATGCAGTGTCATGGTAGTTTTACACTGTGTGTCTGCAGTATGTGGTATTCAGTCTTTGCTGTTGGGAGCTGCCATCTGTGCAAACATTTTAACTGATATCATTCTGAAAGAAATTTGATGAGTGGCAGAATAAAAATGAGTTATTTGATTAATGGTTTGGTTGCACATATGGACATGTAATCCCTAGCCAGATGCATTCAGACATTTTGGGTCTTATACAAGCGGCATGGTTGGTCTTCAGATAGCCAGTGACAGGCACCCACAATAAAGTTAATACTGCCAGAACCCCCTTTATTTCTGGGGGGCTTAGGGCGCTCTGTGTGTATTTCATCCCTCACCTCCTCTTGTGTTTCTGCTTTTGCCTTTTCAGTGCAGCAACAACCCCTTCAGCAGAGGCCCTTTGGATTGCTTTGATATAACATTCAAAAAGATCAAAGGGAAAGCAAGGCTCAGCTGGTGGCCTTTCCCTTTAAAGCAGTGACTTTTAGGCCATGTCTCTGCTACAGATGTTTGCTGGCAGGACGGTGTCAAGCCAGGTTTGATGGGGAGTTTGATCCCTGTCAGGCAGATTTGTGTGAGCAGATTGAATTTTTCTGGTTGTGCTGCATGTGTTTGCCTGGCAGGAGTGAGCAGTGAATGGGCCTGGCTGTGCTCATGGTGCAAGGGCAACTTTGTGAGTTCAAAAGGAATTTGCACATGGGGGACCCTGTCCCTGCTCATGCAGTAGTGCCCAGGCTGAACAGTGCTCATGGATGTGGCTGTGCTGCCTGGGATGTGCAGCTGAGCCCTTAAATTGATACTGCTCTGTTGGCAAAGACTCTGAAAGAAATGTAGAACAACTCTCTGGTGTTGAACTGTGCTCTGTTTTAGGAACTGGTTTAGCCTGTGCTGGCACAGAAACCCTCTCTGAGGCAGGCTTTTTTCAGCTGGAATGGGTTTATCCTCTCTAGTTTAATTCTATCTCATTTGTTGGAAAACCTTTCTATGAAAGCAAGACATCAGTTTCTCCCCCATTGTTGGGTTTTTAATGGAAATCCTGCTGTGAAGATCAAGAGAGAGAAGATGGACCTCTAAAATGTGACTGGCCTCAGAAGCCTTCCCATTTTGGGTGGAAATGCAGTGCTACAGTGTTTGCCAGGATGGACCACAATTCCAATGTTCCAAGAGATGTTCCCTCTTGGTAATGACTTGAACATGTCAGTAATTTAGGTACTTAAATGAAATCCTTTCATTTTCAGGATGTCGAGTTTCTGGTGCCAAGAAGACGCATTTTGGGGAAAGCAGCTTATTTCTAAATGACTAAAATGGAATTAAGGGCTGCTGAGGATGAGCCTGACAGAGGTGCTGCTCAGGACACACATCTGTGCCTACAACCACCATGCAGAACTGCACCTCCCTGAACAGAAAAAGATATGGCTCTATTTTTTTGCAATGAGAGCTGCTCTTGCCTTGGTCCTTAAAATTTAGGATGTGATACTGTTCTCTCCTGCCACAATTTAGACATAATCTAGATTAAATTACTTTTTTTTTAATTTAATTTCTTACTGGTTTTGTTTTTTTCATTTGGTTTTCTCTTTGCGTAGACAATAAAGATGGTCGAGGTTGTGGATTACATGAGAACTCCAATCCATATTACTGAACTCCACTACTGTGAATTCAGGTAAGTGCTATTTAAGCACAAGTTTTGTTTGGTTGGGGTTTTTAGTAAGAGAAATAGCCTTTACTGAGAAGCAAGTTTATATGAATGCACTTGCTGTTTTCTAATGCCTCCATCTTTATTTGCCCCTTTCCTAGATGTTTTGCTTTTATTTCATCTTATGTTTTAATTTTTATACTGTTGTTAGGTTTATTGAGCTTCCAGTAAAGGATTTTTTTTTTAATTATTTGAAGGTGTGGGGCTTTTTTTAAAGTATGGTCTTCAAGCCTACTTTTGCAACAACCTACTCCGCTGGGTTTGAATCAAAGCTCTCTGAAATCAATGGAAAACCTCCAGAAGTTTTCCTGAGCTTTGGCTGAGGCCTTTTTTTGAGAGCATGAGAATGAATGCATTTTTGGGTTTCACTGTTTCATTCTTAAATCTGAATAAGCAGAAAATGGGATTTATTGCTAATAGAAGCAGATGTACAAAAACAAAGGACCTGTAGTTCTCTACTGTAAGGGATATGGTTTGGCAAGATGTAGAGCAGGTAACTCTTACAATGTGAAAAATGTAGAGAATGGGAATTAACTGCAACCAAATGTACCCTGGAAGCACAGCTGTAATTTATAATGCAGTCAGGAATGCACTGCAGGCTCCTCAATCGATAAGCTAATGGGAAAAAAGCCTGCAATTAATTACAAATCAACTGGGTCAATATCCTTTAAATGAAAGATATGAAATTGCTAACATTTGGATGGAACTTCTTTGCCAAGTATATTTATAAACCTCATATAAAATATGATATTTATAAAAAGAATAAAAGCTCCTTTCACTGTTAAAAGGCAGCACTCTGAATGCCTGATTTCCTTTTGCTCTAAAAATTCAACTGAACTGACTTTATTTCAACAAGTTTGCTACTGTGTAAAAAAGAAGTGAAGTAATCTTCTACCTTTAATTCAGGACCTTACAGAGAAGCACAGGAGCTATAAATAGGGCTCCCAGGGTGATGCTGCCCATGACTTCATGGTCAAAACATCTAAAATGACGAAAGTTTGTGCCCAAACTGTTCTCTTAGTAGATGTCAGGACCTGAAGTGCTCTGACTGGTGATCTTGGCAATCTAATACCTTGTTATATTTACAGAAATAGCCCCAGAAAGGGCAGCCAGGGCAGGAGGAGATGGGCTAATGCTGGCATTAAAGGCAGCTTGTTGTCTGTGGGGTCTCAGCTTCAAACAACTCTGAACCTTTACAATTTGCTAAACTGGGAGTCATGCTTACCTGGAACACTTTTCATCTGGCACTGATGATTTTTTCCATATATATTCTATAACACTTCTGCTTTTTATTAAAAAGGTGGAGGAGAGACATTGCCAAGGAGGAAATAATATTGTTAAACTTGTGAATATCTACATTTTTTGGTTTTTTTTAGATAAGTTTGTTTCATTACCTTGCTGTATTGTTTTTATTGTCTTTTTTTGGGAGCAGTAGAAATCAAAGGATTACACTGTAATTATATCATATGAAAATGAAAATATCATGTGGAAAGAGGAAGAGGACCTGGAAGAGCACATGGAAGTGGGTGAGCACTGACCCATTGAAAGGGGGCCTTTACAGAATGGCAAATGTCTGGAGCAACTCCTAGCAGCAAGTAGAGGAAAAGGGGTGGTTGCCAACTTTGTTGGACTTGCCTATATCAGAAGTACCTTGAGGTGAATTTTTCTTTTCCCCTTTGACAATTTTTATTTAAAAAAAAAAACTTCCTGAAGCCCCTTTTTATTTACTGATAAAATACTGATAAATCAAGGTTTTCTCATTTATCCCAGAATCAGAGGATTGGCTAAGCTGGGAGGGACCCACAAGGCTCATCCAGCCCTGGCCCTGCACAGAATCACGCCATGTGCCTGGGAGCATTGTCCAAACACTTCTGGGGATGAAAATTATATCATGATGGTTGTTTGTTATCACAGCAACCAAAAATTCCTATTCTATTTCACACTTTCAGTATATTTTACATACATCCCAGAAGCTGTCGTGCCAATTACGTTTCACCTCCAGGCTTTTAGTTCTTGGTCATTTCATCTTTCTGGAGACTGAGCTCTGATTTGAGTTCCTATTTCTCATTTGCAGTGACAGGGAAAAATATTGGTCAGCCTCACTTGGAAGTGAAATTCATTATATACATGTCCAAGCTGTTTCTTTACTATTTAATTTTTTTATATATTATATAAATGTCCATAGACTCCTTAAAAACAAAACAAAACAGGACATTTAAAAAAATTCCTGAATGAATGGCTGATACTATTTTAATAAAAGATAATTTTAACACAACACTGACAAATATATCACTGGTTTAGTCACAATGTTAGTAGCATCACTGGTGATGATACAGACACATGCAAATTACCAGAGAAAATGTCTGAATTTCACATGTATAGACATAGCACTGCAAAGCTAATACTGCTCTTCTCCAAACACATTCCACCTGCTCAGGCAGCTGCAGATAGATTAGAAATGTTGATGAAATCTGTACAAGAAATTCTGCTACAGTGACGTTAGCTGGTTTCCCTTCTACCTGCAGAAACACAGCCATTTTTTTGTCTGCATTTGCATCATTATATATTCAGAATAAATTAAACACATGATATCTGCATTATTAAGAATGTATTTTTTATTAAGCTACAGAAAATAATTGGCACTGAAATTTCTTTTCACACACCATTAATGAGGTTAAGTCTTTTGAAAACTACAACACAAAACAAATTTAACCAAGAAAAACCCAATCAAAACCTACAAGAGTTTTACATAGAGATAGCAGCATTTCAAGTCAACTAAAGCATGCTGCCTCCACAATTCTATTGTAGGCCATGCTTCATTTCTTTTTACTTTCTCTTCAGTTAATCACTGGGTTTCCTAAATACAAATGCATTATGTCAATAATCAGGTTTTAATTTAAATTTAAATGCATTCCTTAGTGTATTCAGTCAAGCTGTCTTCCTTCCTTCCTTCTGATGTGGCTTTTTGGGGGAAAGTGAGTGCAACTTCATAGAATTTTTTTCTGTCTTTGTCATTGTTTAGTCAGTCGTTCTTTCAGAGACAGACTCTGAACCTTTCACAGCCATTGTCATGGTGAGGCTGTTGGCATGGACTGGTCTCATGGTGTCAGTGGGAGTGGGAAAGGATCATAGAATAATGGATTTGTGATTCTGCACAGAAGAGTTGGGAGAGCTGGGAAGGGAAGACACCTTGAAAAATGCAAAGTTTGAGGTAATTTCTTGTCTGATGCTGTATGTTGCTATTTCAAGAAACAGCAGTGGTCAGTTGTTTAAAAGAGTAAAAGAGACGAAAATATTTATCCCAGTATTGCAGGCTTTTCGTTCTTGTTTATTTGACAACTAAAATTCTGTGACACACTGCAGTACAGCCCTTCAATGGCTGAACAGCTGGCAAAATAGAGACCAGTCAAAGCAGCTTTGGTGGGTTAGTTCCACCATACAGGCATGTTCTTTCATCTAAATCTCAAAGTTAGCACAACATTTTTCTTTCAAAAGGTTGGAGCAGGGCTAATCTATAGTTGGTGTGGCCCTTTTTCTGTTGTGTGTTATTTCCAGCAATGGGGGTGACTTTGCTTAATGTCAGCTGCCAACACAGAAAGAACAGCAACAAGCCTCTGTCAGAAATGTCTGCATGAAGTGGGGAGTGTCTCTGTGTGCTGCTTATATCCAGTGATCTGAATCCAAATAAATAATGAAATAGCATTTCTTGCTTTGATGTTGTTACTTCATTCCATCACCTTGCTCAAATCAGCTCAAATTACCTGTTTGTAAAATGTGTTTCATAATATTTGCTTGAGTTACTGTGATTAAATACTCTACTATTAGTTTAGGTCCATTTTCTTCTTGTTACTTTATACATCATAAGAAATCAAATTTTCCTCTTTGGAGGAAGTATTACCTTCATACATAGTGTAAACACAATAGCACAAAATTCTGATAAGAATTAGGGGAAGCTGGGCAGCTGGGAACATGGAAATTGCATGGATATTCTTTGCAAAGAGAGCTGGAGGTGTTGAATGTTGGGAATTCATCAATATTGGGCTGTGCTCTTTTTCTGAAGAGGCTAACCTGATTTTTTAACCATTTATTGAAGCATTTTAGGAAATCCTTGAAAGTGTCCAAAAATAATTATATAAACCACATTTGTCTTTTGTGTGAACTGTACAAACTGAGCCACAGAAAACCCGTATGTGGTAGGAATGAAGTTTCTTAAACATGTATTTTATCAAATTAAAAAATGAAAACCTGTGGTTTTTTTAATTAAAAAAACAACCAATTTGTCATGAATTTTAATATAGACTAACCTTTGACCTTTCCTTCTTGCATGTCCTCACATAATTTCTGTAATTGGTTTTAGCAGTCATGTACATTTGTTTAAATGTTTTATCTGGAATCAAATATTCCTTTTGATTTAGATAGAAATTAAAAATACAGACATTGTCAATGTTAAGCCAGCCTAAAACAAAGCTCAGTTGTTTGGCTCTTATGGGACAGCAGTGTAACAGTGCTGCACACGGGTTGCTTGAAACCAGCTACTGGAAGGTGTGCTGTACCCAACATTTCCCTGGATTTTTAAAAACTATTTTAGCATCCTGACACAGTGCCTCTTTGGTATAAACTGCTGCCAAAAGCAGATACAAATTTAGTGTGTCCCCAGCCTGATTGGTGAAATTATGGCACAACATTTTGAAACTATGCCAGTTTAGGATAGAAGGGAAAGTGCAGCTAGCTCTGGCTTGCTGCTGTAGATGTAGAACATTGAAATGATGATTAGTGGGAAATTGGTGAAATTCAGGCCTGCCCAGGAAGAGGGAAAGGAGGCAGAAATAGGTATCACAGTTCTGGCACTTGATTTGTTTTCTTGGAACCTGATTTTCCTCTGCCTGAAATCTGCTAGAAGTTAGGGAAGATCAATAGTGTTTGATTATGGGACTTGGGCAGGAAGGGAGTGCTCTCTAGGTTGTGCTAACATGGGATAATTTGAATTTTATGCTGTTTTTATTCCCCTCTCTTTTCTCCTCTGCCAAATCCACTTTACTTTGGCACTGTTTGGTCTGTGACCTTTCCATCTTGCTTGCTGCTGAGGTTTGTTAGTTATTTTTCTTCATTACCTTCATCATCTAACCCAAGTGCTTGCCACTGCTCACACATCCTTCTCCAAAGGTAGGAATCAGAATTCAAATCCAGGAGAAAGTGCTTGGACAGCATTAACAGCTGAACCCCAGCTAGTGGGTAAAAATTAGTGGACTGAAGAGTTGGTCAACACTTTTCTCAGATTTTTAGTATAGATATGTGGCAGCTTGGAGACCCCTCATGTCACCAGGAGACAGGAGAGAGAAGAATGAAAAGAAGCCTCCTGAGAGCTTCATTTTAGTGTGTGAAAAGCTGTGCTTACTCTTATTTTGTCCCTGTAACTATTTCATCCTCTTTCCAAATGCCTGTGTTGCTGCCACTTGCCTTCCTCAGCTGTAAAACAGCAGCAGCACATCTGCTACCTGATGCTGGGGTGATTCTTGGTTTGAAATTCCTCTGAACACACAAAGAATGAGCATTGCTTATCTAGTTATTGCTTATCTATTATTATCCTAGAAAGAGTCCGCCATGGGCATTCATTTTAATTGCTCCGTATATTTATTCATCAGAAGTCCTCTCTCCCTTGCCATTTGGAAATGTGGATGTATCTGAATGGCATACAAGCAAAATCTGGCTGGGGAAAGGCTGCTGTGGACTGAAGGTATATTGATTTCTCCCTTTGGTGCAATGTTTATGACAGATGATGTCAAGGGAAGAGAACAGTTATGTCACTTGTGCAGAAGAGCCTTCAAAAGAAAAAAAATCTTCACAAAAACTGCCAGAAATACCCACAATTTCATTCTTATCATTCTGATCATTGAGGTAACTTAATCCTTCTGTATCTGGTACTCTTTGTTTTGTGGTTGTGTTATAGCTGTGCAACAAAATTGAAAAGTAATAAGTAGCGTGCTTGGGGTGAATTTCATATAATGAAATTGAAGCATATAATTTCCTTAAAAAAGTTAACATGGCAAGAGATTTAAAATGTGTGTTAATTTTAATAGATACAAATTACTGTAATCACATCAAGAGATAAATTACTATAATCATGCCCCCTTAAATCTTTCAGTGATTATAATGCCCTTGTATCAGTGTCATGTTTCTAACAAGATATTAATTTCTTGCCATGCGTGGTCTTTAATGGGTATAACCCTGTATGTTGGAGCCCATTGCTCTTGGGTGGGACAGCTATCACTTTCAGTGCAAAAAACAAGATGGGTAAAGGCAAGAGAAGCTACAGGAGGTGGATGTGCAAATGGGATAACTCTGAGTCCCCTCTGTTGGAATGCCAGGTCATCCCTCCTCCTGTTTGGAAACAGCTGCAGTGGTTGCACAGGGATGCTGGAATCCAAGGAATTCTAGCATCAATTCCAATGCCAACATTGACTTCTCCCAATTTAATGAAAAAGGTGTGGAGAAGGGAAAATCTCTCATCCTTGACGGCCCTGAGGTCTGTGTGATTACAAGGAGGTTTTTTTCCTGCGCTGCTGTAGAAGCACCCTGGAATTCACCAGCACACACTACCCAGAGATCCTCTGCAGAGAAACTGTGCCCACGTTACTCTGGGTATTTATAATGACAAAAGAAAATAGCTCTGACAGCGGAAAGCACTGGGGTTTTTAATACAAATTTAAGAGTAAAACGCTATACTATTTAGTTCCTGTTTTCATCAAAATTCATGTGGAATTTTGTAAGTCAAAACAAGGGAAATGTTTTGTAACATTTTCGGTATGGGAAAGGGAAAAGGAACTGTTTTGCATTTGAAGCTTCTGCAGCATAATCAAAAGGGTGTTCACAATTTATAGATGATTCCTGTGCCAGAGACTTTTTCCCCCTCTTCCTTTTGGGTCAATTTTCAGGGGGAAAAAAAAGTTTGAAAAAAAGAAAGTGACTTTCAAACTCATTTCCTTTTTTTCAACTCCTTGCTTGATAGCAGCTTTGACGATCTGTATTTAAAATAACTGTACTTTGGAGAAATATATTGTCCATTGAAATATTTTCCTTACTGCCTCTTAATGACTGGGCCTGTTCATTGAGAATAAACATGTAAATAATGTTATTACCATGGAGCAGAGTTAATAGCCTCTAATAGCCTGGAACCTGTGAACAATCATGCCCATGAGGAACTCTTTACACAAATAGTCCTGGTAAACCCAACAGGAGTCTTCATGTGGTAAAATTACTCACACAAGTGAGTGTTTGAAAGGAAAATGCCATTGCTCCTCTCCCACATTCCTCCTGCTCCTCCATGAAAGAAAGCCAGCACATGAACATCAAAAGGCATTTTTGGTCCAATATGTCCCAAATAAGGATTTCATCTTAGACTAAACAACTGGTTTGAGTATTTGCTGTAACTATTATTGAAAATGTTTTTAATTTTTCTATTCACTTTCTAGCTTTTGGTTCTTGATTTAAATCATCTGTAGTGCTCCTACTTACTGTGTTCACTTGGTATTTAATGTTTAGAATGTCTGTTTAATACACTTTAATACACTTTAATAACCTCTACAGTTCAGCTGTATTTTACTTAAAAAGCATTCATTACTCTAAAAAGGTTTTGGAATGAGTGATTCATCAAAGAACCTAAAATAGCTCAATCTTGTGTCCTGCTAACAAGACACAAGATATTTGTTTAATTGTAAGTGCATATTCAAAGCATTTACAATTAGCTGTAGCACAGTTATGAAAGAAATAGTGTCTAAAAGGAGCTGTCATTTTTGTCTGACATGAGGTTACTTCAAAAGGCACAATTCCCCTGCAGGTACTGAAGTTATCCAATTACACTTCTTGTTTGTTTATCGTAATTAGTGTGTTTTGGTAGAGGTTTTTCATGGGGAAATGAAAACTAGCTGGTAAAACAGCTATTTTCCTGAACCAGGTAATAAAACTGATCACAATAAACCTGTGAGTTCTGGAAGCAGGTATGAAAAATTTCTTATGGTGATTTTAAGGGGTTTTGTTGTTTGGGTTTGTTTGGTTTGGTTGGTTGTGTTTTTCTACCGTATAGTCCTTGATCCTAAAGGGTAATATAATAACTATTTGCCTTTCATTTAGGCTGATTGTGAGTCAAATCTGTATCTGCTGAGGAAGTTAAGTGATGCACCCTCTAATTAAGTCTCTGCAGCACTTTCCTCCTACATAAATGGGCTGGTGGGTTCCTGGTTGTTCCTGTGGCCACCAGTGCAGCTGAGGGACCCATCTGAGTGACAGGTACTTACATCCATTTGGAATTTTTAATCACAGCCTAACACTTGTCAGCTTCAAAGCACACACTGTGGGGAAATTAGTGTCACGTCATGTGATGCAGCAGTTGTAGGGCTGCAAAGAAAACAGATTGTTTGATTATTTTCTTTCTTCCATGGCTAAGGTTAACTGCCTGGACAGCTGCAGTGGAGCCTTCAGGGCACACTGCTTTATCTGATTGGTCTCAGGCTTGATCTGGCACATGAAAGGAAATGTGAGGAAGTTTCCAGCAGAGATCGTTTTGCAAGTCCAAAGATAAGGGCAAGGTCAAGTTCACTTGTGTTTCCACAGTATCTGGTTACAAACATCAGCCCCAGTGCCACGCAGATAATTCCAGTTTAGTCTGGCTGTGCTTTTCACCTTTAGCAGATTTGCCTTGCTGGAGTATTTGTCATGTTCTGTTCACCAGCATCAAAAAGACCCACCACAGTAAAGCAAGAGCTTTTACCTTTCTTAAAGGTGACTTTTCCTTCTAGGGACCAAAACCATGGTGATTTTATCCAATTTTTGATGTGGAACTTGCTCTGGTGTCGTCCCTCCATGGGGCTGCAGGGACATGTTAATGTTTAGTCAAGGAGTAAGTTGTTATTATCTGTGTTACATTATTTTAGCACATAAGGTTTCTCCTGTAGGAAATTACCATTTCTTCCATGCCTTCAGAACTGTGGGAGTTACTGCAGGAATATATGAGGTGGGAAAATAGAGCTGATTTTTTTTTTCTTTTTTTTTTTAGTTTATTTTTTAAACAGTGTCCTTTATGGTTATTGTGACTAGTGTGTGAAACTTGAGAGCTGTGGCCTGAGGGTGGAAGGAGCTGTCTCTGCCCCATGAGGCTCACCAAAAACATTTCCTGAGTTATGGATGAGCATTGCCTTACAAAACCCAGCCCTACACACTGTCCTCCCGCTGAAAACTGTTCCAGTCTCAGTGCTGGCTCCTCAGTTTGTAAAAGTTATCTTAATTCCACCAAGGTCTTGGTGAGATTCCCTAACTACTTTTTAATTTCTTAATTGTGTGTATTGTTATGCTGCAATGCTTTATGGCTTTATGCAATCAGTGTTTCTTATGGCAGAGTTGCTGGTTAGTGGTGCACTTCAGTAAAAACCACAATTCAAATTCTCCTCTTAGCTGTTGCTGCAAGCAGTAAATTCTGTGGGTAAAAGAAGGAGCATATTGAGTGAGCCTGTGCACTCTTCCATTCCATCACCTCAAATGCTGGTTTGCGTATGCTGTGCTTGAGGAACAGGTCTGCAGTGTAATGTGGATTTCTCAGTTTCTTCCACAGAGAAGCAGAAGCTGTGAGGGTTTTTCTGTTCTTTTTTTTTTTTTTTTTTTTTTTTTTTTTTGAGGTCTGCATTTTTCTTCATTTCAAAAAGGAAAGTTGTCATCCCCCAAGTTAAAAATCCATACAGTGAAATAAGCTGGCCTTCTTTCATGAAAATGTTTGCTCTCTCTACCATGAAAACAGAAGATTACAAATTGGCTGTAGAATATCTTGATAGCTCTCATGTAAATTATTCTACCACTCACATCAATAAGCACAGTCAGTACACTGGGTAGAGAGATGCCTCTCTGAATCTTTTTGGGATCTGTTTTCAGAGAGACAATTACAGTGGTGCAAACTATAATATAATAGTGAAATTAAGGTGAAGTGAATGATGTGCTGCAACACAAAGCTTGAAAAGATAGAGCACTGATCTGTTAAACATGAGTTATGGTTTTATTTTTTTTGTAAATTCTCCAAGATTCTGGTCTGGTTTTGATTTTGGAATGGGTGGGTGGTGGTAGTTCTTTTGTCTTTGGAAAAGCATCTTTTATAATTAAAGAGGCACCGTCCTGGCATGCTCTGGTCGCTTGGATGGTTATTATGGAGAGCTGTGTGCAGGCTGGCACTAAATTAAACCCTCAGTCCAAATCCCCACTGTGCTCTGAGAGGGGACTCATACCAGAAGGAGCATGTCATGTCCTCAGGTCTCCTCTGCTGACATTATTGAGGGCTGGGATGATTTCCTGGGCAATAATGATGGGTCCATGTCCAGCTGTCCTGCAGCAATCAGTCCAGAAGTGGGAGCAGTGTGCCCAAAAGGTTCAGTGCTAGGTGTCAGGGCAATTCCTTCACCATTTCTATCACTTCATTTACAAATTCTGACTGTCTCAAGGCATTTCTCTGCTTTTCTGTTTTGTTTTCATAATTTTTTCCCATGAAACCATGTTTAGCTTCACATAGTGCTTTCTTCCAGGGAGAGCTGAACTCCACACAAATTTATCCTGATCAATCTGTGTCCAATCTGTTACTGGCTTGATCAGACAGAAATGGATGATATTAGTGAAGCTGGCACATTGCTCCTAACCTTTCCTGATGGCATATTCAATACTTGAAAATACCAAAGATCTAAATTTAAACAACATCTTTAAAATCACTGTCCCTTTTCCAAGAGATATATAATATGTGTCTCATGTCTCTAAAAGTCCTAATTTGAAAGCATGTGGGTTTTGTTCCCATTTAATGCCTAGGGAAAGACATATTCCCCCAAAGTACATCCCTAGCTTTCAACTTTTCCTCTTTATTTTTTATGCTTTTTAAAATAAAAGTAACAAGCATTTGCCTTTCACTGAGCCTGTCCTTCCTTTTCAAAGCAGAGATTTTTTATTATTGACTTTGAAAGAGCAAATCAATCCCACTAAACTGCCACACTTTTTATCCTAATTTTTTTTTCATTTTCTGTGTTTCTTATTCTACATCTGCATTAGTGTAACTTTGGTTTTTTCCCTTTTAAACATAACATTAATACTCATTTATGTCTTTTTACTTTCCAGCTTTATGAAGGCACTATTGACTCTCACCTTTGTAAATGTCTGCCCTTGAAGTTTTAAATGTTTGCAATAAACACAATTTTGCTGCCATCATTAGCAGCCACTAGCCATAAATTAGCTGCTTCATTTCAAGTTCAAATTCCATTTCTCCTAAAGTACCATCAAGAATCCTCTCCTGTCCAGCTTTATACTGGTGGAGTGGAGAGATGAATTTCAAAATTTTAAGAATTACACAAGTGTAGTTTTGACTGCAGTCAGGAATACACCCTCATTAAGTGTTTTCCTCCTTTTCTTGGCTAGTGTAAATCCTTTGGATATTTCTGACAGTGTATGCCCCCTGGAATGTCTCTGCTAAAATAACCAGACATTCCAAGACGTTGGTGGCAAGATCCTGAATCATAACTGTAGTAAATTTCTGGTGGGTGTTGCTGCCTTTTTAGATCTCTGTGGGAGATCCCACCTTTAATCCCTGCCATCAGACTCTGCTGTCGTGACTGTGACTCTGCATGGGAAGAGCCAATTCTCCAGGAACACAATTTATTTCAGTGATGTGTTCATGTGATCTGAGTAATTCTGAGGTGAGAGCATTGACATCAATGAGAATCTGGCTGAATATGGGCTCTTATTTTGGTCCTTAGTGTGCCGTAAGCATGGAATGGACTAGATGAAAGGCAACACTGTGTTTCTCTGATAAATCTGAATTTTTAGGTTCTTCTCTCAACTGTTTGAGTTTGAAAAGCAAAGACAGCCAAGAGGAAATTGTTTTGGAGAGAAGTGATAGCCAACCTGGGATAGCAGTCAAGGAAATTTCAGTGGTGACACAATTCAGTTACAAGGAGGTAAGAAAAGTTCTGACAAGGTCCTCCATGTGAACCAAATTTATCTTTTAAAAATTCTGCATGTTCTGTTGTTGATCTGTAATTGATATTCAGCATCCATACACATTTACACCAGGTAAATGAGGCTGCTGAGGTCTCCTGGGAAAGCCCTTTGCCCAGCATGTACAGCAGCTTTTCGTCCCTGTAATTCAGACTTTCCATCCCTTTCCTCTCAGGTCCATGAGGATTCCTCACGTGCTGATATTTGTGCTACAGACATTTATTTTTCTCCTAGGTTTAGGAAGAGAAGTGTCAGCACCTTCTGTCTGGAACAGGAGGGATACTTGTCTGAGTTGGCAAGGTGATCTCAAAGCTGCAGAATAAGATTTAAAAGTCTTGTTCAAAGGGAGATGCCAGAGCAATATCAAGCCACCTTAGAAGATTTGACTTTAGTTACAGAGACCTGCTACCCTCAAACACATTGGGAAACCACACTGATAAACTTTTTAAGGGTCAGTCTGTGGAGAGGTGCTGTAACATAGGCTGCTTCAGAAACCCAAATGGTTTGTTCTCTGATTTTTAATTTTTTTTTCCTGCATTCTACCCAAATTAATAATTTCTTTGATGAAGTTGCTCCCAATTTACACACAAACGTGCCAGTCCCCTTCTGTTCCTGTCTATCTTAGAAGAAGTATGAGGAGTTCAGCTTTTCCTTCCTCAATTTTTAGTAAAACACAATAATTATTTTTTAAATAGAAAATAGACTCAGGCTAGGGATCTTGCATTTTGAAAGGCAGCATTTAAGAAACCAAAGACAGATGGTCTCTTGTACCCATAATTTCTTCTTATAAAATGCAATTTGAATTATTCTCAGTGGGTTCAGAATATCTTTTTTTTCTAGGCATGAGCCAAGGTTTTTCCCCTCCAGTGTACAGAGGAATATACACTAGATAATAAATACTTGATGCATAATTTGTTGCTCACTGTGAGACGCCTCTTAAATATTTTGTTTGCATTGTTTACCTGTGCATATATTGCAAGCTAACAATAATACAAGCTATATTGAAAAATCATGTACATTATTCAGGCATTTCAGTGCATAGAATCCAATAATTCTTTTACACAATTGACAGAAAATTTAAAAGATGCACATTTCCTGGTAAATGAATCCTTCAGTATTTCAATATATGCTACAGTTAAGGCCAGTAGGAAGGATAAAATGCAGTGGCCCTACAGTGGTTTTAGGACAGCTGTCTGTTCTGAAGGCTGCTACACATCCATCTCTGTCCTCCTGCTTTTACAAATTCTGCAGTCCCAATACTGATGCTGTACTTGACTTTTCCATTTTAATAAGAGGTAAATGAATTTTCAAACAGTGATTGTGTTGAAGGTTCTTTTTTTTTTCTTCTCTGAAAGGGCTTTCTGGCCCCTGATTTCTCCAAGTCCTGGAAGCTTAAAGCCAAATGCTCCCATGGGGGTGGTTTAGGTGGATATGGACTTTCAGGAGGGATGTTGAGATGAGTTTTATGTTCAACAGTAAGGAAGGGACACAAAACTCCTGTCTCTAAGCCAATGGTGGCCAACAGCTCTTCCTCAGCATCCTTGCATGGGCTGACCTCTGTGTGGAGTAAGGATGAATTTGGGGCTGCTCTTCTTGGTGACAACAGAAACAAATGCCAGGAAAACTAATTCACTGTATTTCCTCCTGGATCTTTCTTACATTCTCTAAAGGAAGCCAGAGGAAATTCATATCAAAATCTACCAAGGGATATCTAAAAAGACACCATCTGACTTGAAGTCCCTGAGCCAGAAATGGCTGGGACTTGGGAGAGGACACCTGGAAAGTGTTGATTACAGTCCTATTACAGTCTTATGTGTTTATCTTTTATAACACAGGGTAATTTTGCTTCAACTAGTACAGCTGTCTGTATGTCATGCAACTCAGGTTTATATGGATTTATTGATAAATAGTGGATATTCACATGTCCAGTGGTGTGATGCAGTGTGTGTGGCGCAGCTCTTCCTAAATCCTGTTTAGAGCCAAAGGGGAGGAAAATATTCACACAGAAGGTGTTTCAGAGAAACCCTGGGTTCTCTTTGTCCAGACAATCCTCCCTGCAATGGCAGCAGAGGAGGATTAAAGAGCTGAGCTGGCTGATATAAACTGGCTAGTGTTGTGTGGTTCCACACCACCACTGAATGTCCCCCCTTAGCACAGGACATGCACAATCTGTGGCAAGGTCCTGTGTAATGAAAATTCATTTTGTGCTGCTTCTAACACCACACCATCTTTAGCAGCCAGTAACAATGATAATGCAATTATTCTGTTTCATGGCTCTGAGGAGAACAGGACACAAAGGGGTTTTTGTTGGGGGGTGTGAGGCTTTTTTATCACCGTTAAGCTGCAGTGTAAAATTTGCTGCATGAGGGGCATCTCCTGTCCCTCCCTGGTGCCCAGCAGGGTGGACGGGCAGCTCTTTGTCCCTGTGAGTGGCTCCACCTTGGTGGCTTTGCCTTTGCTGCCTGCACAGAGCAGAGCCCAGCAGAGAAACAACAGGCAGGGATTGACCCGAGCAGGGTGGGGTGGGCTGGGGAGTGATGTCCCACAGTTTGGCAGCTCTGCTGTAAATGTTTGTGACAGAAATTGCCCCTTGAGCTGTGCTGGAGCTGCCACAGATCCCGGTCCCATGGGCCTCCAGCCCCGCCTGCTTTCTCACTCCATGAGAGAGAAGCAGTAGAATAACAAAAGAAAATTTCTGACACTTTTCGCTGTTTTTTCCCCCCCTCTCTCTTTGTCTGGGATTATGCTGAATATAACTTAAGCCCTAGTGCCCTCTTCTGATCTTGACATAGGTGTCAGTCCTCAGCACACCTGTCCCTGCAGCTCCCCCTCTGCAGCCAATTGTTTGAAGTTAGGCGAGCATTTGGGGACACAGATATTTTAATTTGTAATCAGCTTTAAAGCTTTAAAGCTTTCAACATTTACTCTGATCAGAAACAGCAGCTTAGGCATAAATTAGCCTTTTCTATTTAAAAAAAAACAATTTTTTTTTGTCTCCCAGCAGGGGCAGTAGGCTCGATGTGAAGTCCACAGAAGTGAAGGGATAAACCCTTATCAGCTCTGGCCCAGCCTCTGACACAGCCCTCAGAGCCACTCAGGCTGAAAGAGGTAAACTGCTACAAGATCTTCAAGGAACAAAGACTGATTAAGGATAATCTTGTAGAAAATGTTACCTTTTTTTGGATTAATTTAACATGGGAAATACTGGTAAGTGGTAATTGTACAATTCCTTGGCTTTTCAGTGCTGGTAACCCAAATTTAGTTTGTGTCCTTACATGCAGGTATGTGCAATGTGTATTAGGTGTGTCTCTGACACTCAGCTGCAGACTGTATGAATTAGTTCATTCATCATTTCTAGGCTGCCACCTCTGGGATGGAAGGCAGCAGCTGGCAGGGAGCACACAGCAGTTCTGCACAGCACCCCCAAAGCCAAGCCAGAAATCCTGCATCCAGGTTCTATTGCAGGGTGGTTCCACACACGGGGGAACTAGAAACCTCTTCTTTGCAAAAACACACACTTCCTTTCTAAAATCATATGTTTTACTGATAGCCATTGAAAAAAAAAATTACAATATTTGCCCATAAGGCATATGATATATCCAAAGTATGCTAAATGTTGCTAAATCTTCTAACACTAAATTTGCTGCAAAATAAGGTTATGAATTAATTTTCACAGTCCTGGCTTTCTTAGACTGTGGCTGTTTGCTTATGTTTTAAGCAGATAATATTCTGCAAACTGAGAGTTGTGCAACTGCAAATAAACATTCTCTACTGACCAAACTACTTGTTGATAATTTTAGATGGGAATTTTTGAGAGACTGATGGGCAGATTAACACTAAAGGCCTCTCAAGCAAGTGGTTTAACAACACATTAAGCAACAAAAGGGATATTTATAGCTCTTTGCAGGAATCTGAGTTTTCCAGCTCTCTATTGCCATCTTGAGTCCCTGCCTGCCTTTGACAGAAAAACCAAATTGGGTGTAACACGGACAGAGACAAAGGGAAAATCCCTTTCCTGTCCTGGTGGCCAGAGCCCTCTCCAGTTATCAGGTGAAAGTCATCAGGTGTCACAGAAACAACATTATTTACTCCACTTGAGATTATACACTCTGGCACACTGCAGGGAGAGCTGAGGGGAGATGCCAGGGCCGTGTGATGTCAGTGCAAATTTGCTCTTGCACAATGAGGTTCTTGGAAAGCAGCTGAGCTCAGGGCCCAGGGGAATTATTGGACATGTACACCCTGCAGACACCTCTCAGAGGAGCTAGCAAGAGTTTGGAGTATATTTAAAGCTGGATTGTAAAATTCTGAAATTCTTCCTCCTATGCAGATACCATGCTCTTTGTCCTGTAATTGTCCTTGACAAATTTCTCACCTTCCTCTGAGAATCACTAAGGTAGGAACTGCAGCACCTGATCCATCCTATGATATTTTAGTAGGTAGTCACAGCACACTAAAGAAAACCTGTGGATGTCCAAGTTCTTTGGGATAGATGCCATGAAAAGAAGCCTGAGGCCTTTGCTATGTGGGCATTTCTCCAAAGCCTGGGGCCTTTCCTATGTGGGCACCTCTTGCTTTCTACCTCGTGATGCTCAGACTCCTTTTTATTGGTTTATAACTTTCAGAAGTCCTTCCTTTTATTGTTATTATTCCCTCTTCTCTCCCACTGCCCTATTTCACACTTGGTAGCAGTGATTTCAGCCAGTTTTCAGAGCTCAGTGCTTATGAGAGTCCCAGCAGAAGGAGTACATTGTGAGATCATCGTTACTAATTGAATACTTGGTGAGGGATCTCTTCCCCCCGCACTGAGTGCTTGACATAGACCGAAAATAAGCTGCTAATACTTGATTCTAATAAATTTACTGCCCATAGCCTGTTTTAGAGTCTTAAATGTATTTGGGCATAATATCAGCAATCAGTACTTCCCTCTTTCAAACAAAGGATACTGTTTGATGGAGCCATTAAACTCCTTTCTAATAAATCTCAGAGTGGCCGCTGACACTAGCACAGTTTGAGCTGGGCTAGCACAGGGGTAGATTAAACCCTGATGGAAACAGCCTAGATTTTCCACCCTGCTCTGTAGTGCAGCAAATATTGGTCCTCTCTCTTGCTTTGCTGTCCTGGACATTTCTGCAGTGCCAGGCTGGTACCAAGGGCTCCTGGACCCCCTTTCCTAGGGCTGGGGTGAGCTGCAGGTGCCATTCCTCAATGCCCAAATGCAAATAAAACTCTGAAGATGTCAGGCCTCTGGGCTGTGACTCCATAGAATCATGGGCACAAAGGAAAATTGAATGTTCTGTGAATAATTTGTGCTGGCTGCATCTGAACCAATGGTGTCTCCCCAGGCCTCTGGAAACCTCAGGTGGTTTTGTACTCATTTCATAATTGCTTTGCACTCCTAGATTTGGGTAGTTCCTCAGGTATTGGTGATGGATCAAACTTAGCATTTCTTCAAAAGAATGGCTTCATTTATTGGATTGTGCCTTCTGTACTCTGCTGGCAATGGCCTTCCAAAGAGGTGCTCTGGCACAGCCGTCCTGGGCTCCCAGAATTCACAGAGCTGATTATTTTTAATAACATTCTTGGAATAATCTCTCGATGGTGTATATTTGCATTTGTATTGATGTCATCACACTGCTGCAATTCTGTTTTCAATACTCCTTTTTATATATTTCCTGCAAGTGCCACATTAAATGATCATGGGATTCTTGGAAAAGCAACAGGAAATTATATAATGGTGCCCACAAGTCTGTGTATTGACTTTTCCACAGACTTGCTGGTCTCTAAGCCTGAAAACTGTTGGTAAAACAAAGATATTTGATCTAATTTTCTGTTTTTGATTCTTCTTACTGTCTGAGAAGTCCTGGTCTTTTGCTGTTCTATTATGAAAAAAGAAAAAAGATAAAAAGAGCTAATTATAGAGATTATTGTGGGTTTGATTATAAGGATACTTGTTTAATTTAGTTGCTTTACATTCTTAAGTAACTTTCAGCAGGAATTCAGATGGACACACTCTGTCCTCTGCAAGTAAACTACAACTGGCACTAAGATGAGCAGAAATGTCTGCAATGGAATCAGAGCTCTGGTACAGAACTTGTAGGACATTAAAAGAAATAATTGTCTTTTAAGTCTACTTTAGTACATACAAACCATAAAGCATAACCAATAAAAATGGAGGAAAGCTGCAGGGAAACTGTTGTCTGTGGCATTGTTTCTCAGTAACCTTACACAGGTTGTGGAGGACAAGGCAAAGGTTTCTACGAAAAATTGCAGAAAAACACCTGATGCCAATGTCACAGAAACAAGAATATCTCTAAAGCCTGGGCTTTTGGCCATGTCTAAGGGGTTCTCAAAGTGGTTTGTGGAATATTTTGAATATTTATAGCTGAGACTTCAAAATCCTTCTCTTTGTTGGCCGAAAAATAGTTTTGCTTTTGAAGATACAGTGACTCTTTCTGGTTTGTGGTGATTTTACCAAATAACTTTCCCCTCTTACGGGTTTATTTTTTATCTGAAGGATAATATATCCCCTAGATGTTGGAAATAACCAACACATTACATTGCTTGCAGCCTGCCAGTCTCATTTGGGTAATTCCTTCAGTAAATTCCCTTCTCATCCGGGATGGTTCCTTGATCGGGCCAAGTTGGGTTTCCAGTTTCCAGCACATTCCCTGGGTGAGTCCCCATCCATGTGTGGCACTGTGGGGTGGTGGCACTGCCCAGAGCTGGCAGTGCCTGCCAGGAGCCCTCCGTGCTGACAAACTGATAGCCACAAACCCAAAGGAAGGCAAAGAGAAGCCAGCCTGCTCTGCAACCAGCAGTGGAGCCTTTCTCTGTGCTGGAATAACTCTGGGACCTGGAGCAGTCTAATCTTACCAGGGTGAGCTCACAAAGCGCTGCTTTACCCTGCAGCAGCACACTTGACTCCAGCAGCAGATGAAATTAATCTCTCCTGATCTCTCCATTGGGACTCCTGGATGCTTTCCAGGGCTTGGGCAGATCTGTGGAGCATCAGCTCGAGCACTTCAGGGCTCCTGGGGTCTGAGAAAAGACACATCCTATAAAAGCTGCTTCAGTTCTCCACTCAGGGCTGGCAGCTCTGCAGAGAGCAGAGGATGCAGGGCAGATATTTGAGATTTGCTTTACTCCTCACAGGACTCAAACCAAGTGCAGCTGCCCTGGTTAGAGCTCAGCAGAACCACATTCACCCTCTAGAACAGAGACAGTCATCCTGAAGCATTAATGTATTACATGGTAATTTAAACAAATAAAACCCAAAGACATTTGGGGTGTGACTGCTGGGAGTATTTTAACTCCACATGAGATTATCACACCTACTGTAATTCCTGAGATTCCTACTTCACAGTTAATTGAAATTGGATATTAACTTGCATTTTCTGAATGAGAACAGCCTCTCTGGCATTTATTTTGTTCAGATAAACACCTTGGTATAAAACTGACAGTGGCTCAATCTAGTAATATACTGAACAGAAAGTTTACTGAAAAATTGTTTATTTTCCCTTCCTCCAGTACAGAACCACTGTTTTCTGTGCTACACAAGACATTTGCTTCCCACTGCTTGGGAGTTTAGCCTGTCTGGAGAGATTGCAAGTGAAAACAAAAAGTATTGGAAACCTCTAGTGTATTCGCTGAAAAAGTAATCCTCTTTAGCTGTTTACCTAAATCTTTTCCCAAAGTAGATTTTTGTAGCCACATTATACTACTATCAAAAAGATTTGATTCAGCTGAGGAGGAAAATGAGACAAATGTGTTTTGTCATGAATGTGAATGAAGAAAAATTAAGTTTCTAGCCATTGTAAATTTTTACACATTAAATAGTGTAAAAATTTACTTTGAGGTATTTACAGTGGGAACACAGACTGTTTTTTAAATAGCCATAATGTTCTGAATGTAGTTGCTAAAGCTTGGTGACTCTTTCTTCTCTGTTTTCTGACAGATTGGATGATGAAATGTCAGGTAATACACTTTCAGAGCACCAGCCATCATCCTGTTTTATTGGTTTAATCAGTGTGAAAGGAATGATTTAATTCACTATCCAATTACATTCCTGAGTGTGTTCATTTTAATAGGCTCAGTATTTCCCTAATTTATCTGCTAATCATTAGAAATGCATTTGGCCTCAGCTCAGAGACTGCTGTGTCCTGGGGTTCAAGCTGGGATTAGCACAGTTCTAAGAAATCCAGAGC